CCCCCAGCCACACTTGGGTAACTCCTTCATCCCTCCACCGCCAGCTGTCTCCCGTCCCCACCTGCGCGACCTTGGCCAGACGGCTGCTCCTGTCGGGGGGGGGGGGGGGGGGGGGGGCCTCAACCTGCACCCAGTCTCACCTGGGAGGACACTAGCCACCCTTCAGTGCATGAGGCGCTGAGCTCCAGAACCCTGGGTCCCCCACGTACCTTCCACCAGGTGCAGGACCAACAGCTGCTGCCCCCCAGGCTCCCCCAGCCAGGCTCCCAGCCGCCGCAGAGGAGGCAGGGCAGCCTGCCTGTCACCAGGGCTGCAGACCCCAAAGGTAGCCAGGTCACGGGGGTGCCAGTGGGCTTGCTGCACGGCCTCCAAGAAGGCCTGCTCATAACTGCCCAGGGCCCCCACCACCCGCAGTGGGGCACCGCTCCAGTTGCTGGCCCTGTCCAGCGTCACCAGGCACAGGGGATCCGCGAGGCTGCCTGGTGGCCAGAGGTCTGGGGGCAGCCAGTTCCAGTCCCGGTGGAAGATGAGGCCTCCGGTGCTGGTGGCTGACTCCTCTTCTCTGGGGGTTTCAGCCCCCAGCAGAGCCATAGCTGCCAGCACCAGGGCCAGCTGAGTAAGAGGTGGGCCCTGCATCGCGGTGCTGCGAGGGACCAGGCTGCCCGGCTTATATGTGAGAGGACGGAATGTGTGTGTGGGAGGGCAGCCTCTGCTCTATGGAGGCGACCTTGGGGGATGCTGCCCAGCACCCCCGAGGGACAGTGGGGCAGGCCCAGTGGCCTTCTCAAAGGGCTCTCTGTTCTGCCAGCCACCTATCTGCCCCTCACCAGTGATAGCTCAGCCTGTCAGCCCCTTGTGAAAATGCTGTCCTTGAGCACTCCCCTCCCAAGGTGGCAGTGGGGACCTGAGCTGGGAGCAAGTACCCAAGAGCCACCATAAACAGCACTGGAGAGAGCAGCAGGCAGGCTGCGGGGGGCCCTAGGGTGGACCAGAGGTCTTGATATCTGGGCACTGGCTGAGCAGGCCTGGGCATCTTCAGGTTGCCCACCCCTCTTCTGAGGGGACACCCGAAGACCCTAGACCCACTCCTGGCTGGCTGGCTGGCTGGCAGGGCTCCACTGGTGGCCTCCAGGGCACAGCTGCCACAGGGGCCACCCACAAGAGTGTGTTGGAAGGCCACAGGAACTCCCAGGAGCCCCTGCTGGAGAAGCCCTTAGCCACCCACTGCCCAGCACCCCGAGTCTGCTGACGGTGCATGGGCGGCCGCCAGACACAGCAGTGCACTCCAGGCACAGGGAGCCTGTTTAATGAGCTCCAGGGACAGCACAAAAGCAGGAAACTACTCTCCATGGGAAAACACGCGACTACAAAACCAGCCTTGCTGGGGGAGGGGCAGCTTTTCAGTTGGTTGGTGGAGGAGGAGGAATGTTCCCAGGTCCATCGGATGGGAGTGGGGGTCTCAGCATCGGGGGCATGGGAGTTGGGTGTACCCCAGGATTCGAGGGGTGAACTCCAGGAGGCTGGGGGTGCACCCCAGGAGCTGCAGGATGGACCCCAGGAGCTGCAGGATGAACCCCAGGAGCTGCAGGATGGACCCCAGGAGGCTGGGGGTGGACCCCTGGTGCCTGAGGGTGGATCCCCGGGGCTGGTGGGTGGACCACAGGGGCCTGGGGGTGAACTGCAGGAGCTGGTGGGTGCACCCCAGGGGCCTGGGGGT